AAATAAAAACAGGAGAGTTGGCTCCTGCATTCTGGATAGATGGATCCACCCCTCACCACAGAGAGAGTGAACTGACCCTGAGGGTATGGGCATAGGGCAGCTGACTCCACCCCTTGCTCCCTGAGGTGGGTAGCCCCGGCAGCAATGACTGACCAGTTCAGCTACTACCCAGGCCCACAGATGGGCCTTGGGTTGACCCACCCTAACATCTACCCCATCTAGGACCTGCTGAAGCTTTTGAAGGGACTGGTCCTGCAGAACAATACCCTCAGAATCTCTAAATCTTGGGGCATCCATGGGATATGCCAGAGGAGTTTCAGTGAGGATCCAGTGATGGTGGTATACCAGAAACCCCTGGCCTTGAACTGGAGCAATGACTCATTGAAATGAACAGTTGTTAGTAAGCTGATTGGACAAAAGTGTGCACTGTATGACACAGAGGCTCCCAATGCCACCAGGATGAGTGAAGCGGTGATGGTGAGGTGGGAAAGAAGGAGAAGGGAAGACTTTTTGGATTAGTTTTGTTCTTGTTCTTGTTTGTTCGCTTGTTTTGTTATATGTTGTTTCATGGTGCTGCAGGGGTGACATGAGGATATGGGGGCACTGTAAGGTGATCAGAATTGGGGTGCATGATGTAAAACTCCCAAAGATTCAATAAAGAAGTTAAATTTAAAAAATAATAAATAAAAATAAAAACAATAACACCATGAAATCGGAGACAAATGGATAGAACTAGAAAAAAAATCATGCTAAGTGAGGTAACCCAGACCAAGAAAGATCAATAAAGTATGTACTCACTTATAAGTGGATATTAACTGTAAAGTAAAAAATAACCATGCTATAATTCAGTGACCCAGAGATGCTAGCTAAAAAGGAAGGCTCAAGGAGTTGAGGGGTGCTTGCGTCTCCCTAGGAAGGGGAAATAGAAAAGTTTTTGTGGGTTGACTTGAGGTAGGTGGAGAAGGGAACATGAGGGATCATGTGGTGTGGAATGAAGGAGAATACTGAAAGAGATGACTGGAAAAGGCATTTCATGTCAGGTAAACCTAGTACAAATGAAACTTCTAGGAATCTACAAGGATGACCCCAGTTAAGACTCCTAGCAATAGGGGATATTTGGCCTGAACTAGTATCTTCTATGACCAGGCAAGACTCCTAGGAGTTAGAATAGAACATCAACCCAGCCACATAAGCTTTGACCTACAGTCTGTCCTGCCTATGGGATGTGCTGGGATAAGGGTGGTGCAAAGACTGTGGGAGTGGCCAACCAATGACTGGCCCAGCCTGAGACCTATGCCACAACAATGAGCCCACCCCTGACACTCACTGCCTATAGCACCAGGACCCATAGGCTGAATGGCCCAGAGACCCAGCATAGACTGAGACACAACTGACCAAAAATGAAAACATTATTGTAATGGTGCCAATGATATTCTGCTCTACTCACAGATTTGTGCCTGGTACAATTGTCATCAGAGAGGCTTCATCCAGCAACTGATGGAAATAGATTCAGAGACCCACATCAAAACATTAGACAGAGCTTGGGGAATTCTGTAGATAAGTGGGAAGAAGGATTGTAGGAGCCCGAGTGGTCAAGGACATCACAAGAAAACCTACAGAATCAGCTAACCCGGGCTCAGAGACTGAATGGATAACCTGGAGCATACATGGGATTGACCTCGGCCTTCTGCACATTTGTTACAGTTGTGTAGTTTGGTCTTTTTCTGGGACTCCTAACAGTGGGATCAGGGGCTACATTCTCTTACAAATTTGTCAGCTTTTAGGATCCTATTCCTCATACTTGGTTTCCTTGTTCACCCTTAATAAGAGGGGAGGTGCTAAGTCTTACTGCAACTAGATATGCCATGTTTTGTTGATATCCATGGAAGGCCTCCCTTTCCTTATTAGAAACAGAGAAGTAGTGGATGGGAGCCAGCAGAGGGGATGTAGGGTATGGATGGGGAAGAGGGAATGTAGGGAATGTAAAATAAACAAATAAAGGGAGAGAATATTCCATGAAGAGGAAATAGCTACATTGAACTCTACTCCTTTCTCAGGCTCTTCCATTTTCTCTGGCCTCTCTTCTTTATTTTTATTATTATTGTTAAGAGATATTTTTATCCATTTTATATACCAACCACAGATTCCCCTCTCCTCCCTCTTGCCTCCCCCCAGCCTTCCTCCTCAACCCACCCCATTTCCACCTTCTCCAAGGCAAGGTCTCCCATGGGGAGTCAGCAGAGCCTGGTATATTCAGTTGAGGCAGGTCCAGGTCCCTCCTCCCTGCACCAAGGCTGTGCAAAGTGTTCTACTGTAGTCCCTAGGCTCCAAAAAGCTGGCTTATGCACCAGGGATATGTCCCAATCCCACTGCCTGGGGGCCCCCTAAACAGTTTAAGCTAAAACAACTGTCTCGCCTATCCAGAAGGCCTAGTCTAGTACCAAAGGGGCTTCTCAGCTATTGGTCCACAGTTTATGTGTTTCCACTAGTTTGGCTGGTCATCTCTATACATTTTCCCATCATAAACTTGATGTCCCTTGCTTATAGAACCCCTCCTCTCTCTCATTGATTGGACTTCTGGAGTTAGGCCTGGCACCTGGCCATGGATCTCTTCCCCTGCAAGTCAGCGACTTTTGTCCTTCTTATCCCAACAGTTCCAAGGAAGACCTGATCCAATTTTCAGAGCTTCCATGAAAGGAAGTTCACCTTTCCTGGCAGCTCTTTTCAATCTAGGAACCCAATAAAACTTGCGTCAATCACTACCACCATTGCCACATTGTCTCCACACTCCTTCAGGAGGAATCAGAATATCTGGATTAAAGTTGTCATCTCCCTTTCATGGTGGAGGCCACCATTTCCCTCCTATTCTAGGTTCCCACTCTTCTAGTTTGTCATCCCATCTATATGTTGCTCCATCCACAGTCTTCAGCCAATACCCCTTAGGGTCTCAAGTTATACACAATGTCCTTGGAATATCCTCAGAAACTGAATTATTCATCGTGGTCAAATTGATTTCAGTGCACTGATACACATAATACTATGTGCTAGAGTTGACCACACATTTGGTACAGTTTATCCAAGCCTGAAAAGCTTCCCCAGGCTGCAGGTTCTTTCCCATGACCTGCATAACTGCCTTGACCCCAGCCTGGGTGATCATCTCTGTATAATTTCCCATGAAATTTGTTTCATTCCCATCTCTTTTCACAGAATATCAGCTTCATTGAAGAGTTTGGTAGCATGCCACCCCCTTCATGATTTCTGGAGTGGATTCAGGAGTGTTGTGTTCATTCTTGGGAGAATTCCGCATTGGACACATTTGGCCCAGGCTTGTTCCAGTTAGAAGACATTTTGTTGCAGTTTAATCTCACTGCTCACTGCAGAACTCTTCATGTTGTCCATGTTTTCCTTTGTAATTTTGTATCTCAGTGTAGAACACTGTTCATTTCTTTTGTATTTTCCAAGTTATTTGATTATAAATTTTTAAGGTATATCCAGAAGGTACTGGGATTTTCATGGGTTATCCATGTGTCTTCTCTTTGATCTATTATATTTAATTTTTAGTTTTTCTTTTGCTTTGTTTTGCTAAAGATTGATATTCATGATACTCTTCAAAACATCAGTTGTTATTTTATTTCCTCTTAATGCTATTAATTGAGAGATCTTGCCCCTAATCTTGTTTGCATCTTGGTGGATCAGGAAGCTGAGTGCTCAGGAGAGACCCAGATGGGAATTTCACTGACATCCATGTCTTCTAGAGAGAACACAGTGCCAACAGTTCTACATTTCCCAAAAAAGGGCCTCCACAAATGACTAAGCATTCAAAACCCAGATCCTGTGTATGCTATTTCATATCCAAAAATACCATCCTAGAAACTAATACATAAACATTAATAAACAGACATTACACACACACACACACACACACACACACACACACACACACACACACACGGACCCACTGATAGAAATGCACACAGACACATGTGCACACACAGAAAAATGCATACAAACAGTCACACATAGAATGACATGCCCATATATGGGCAATGGCACTAGTCATAGAGAAAAACACACAAACACGCTGTATCTACATATTCAAAACAGACACAACTGATACAAATGCACAAAAGAACTACACAGGCACAAATTTATACAAGCAGGCAAAGGCACCAGCACATAGAGACAGTTGCACACATTAACGCATAAACATAAATACTCATGTGCAATCTCCACAGCTACCCAGACACATAAACACATTTTATGCACTCTGACACAGACAGCTACATACATACACAGAAGCAGGACAATAATGCATTTACACTGTGATGTGACAGAGAATGAAAGAGAAATGAGAAGTAGGGAATCAGAGAAATTTTGTCAGAGACACTACTCACAATGAATCTTGGAGTCCGTAAAGTGTGAAGGTAGCAGCTCCACGAAAAGGTGGGTTGGGATTTATGTGTATTTTAGGGCCAGGCTGCTAAGTTGGTAGAGATCAGCTGTGAAGGTCTAGAGAGTCAGGGAGGTGTGCTGCACTCTCATGAGGATAGAAAGCAGAGGGGAAGACAGGACACAGGGGTCAGGGTGATGAAGTATGAAGCCATAGCCAAGTCCTCAGGGGAATGTGCCTGGAGAACACACTGCCGGGTACTACCCTGTTGTGTGGAGACAGGCTGGTGGCTCCTCTTGAAACGGGAGGTTCTGAGGCGGAAGAGAAAGTGTTGTGGCATCTTTTAACAGGAATAGAGCCAGGCATGGTGAGGTTGAGAACATGGGAGCTCTTGTTATCCTCCGGCTCTGGGTTCTCAGGTGTCACTTCCCACTGTGATGACATTCTCCCCACTGACAAGGTTTCCTGAGAATGAGTGAAAGCACAGGCAGGTGGCTATTTACAAGAATTAGCACCATGTATTCATTAGGTCCAAACAAAACAGTGCAACCAGCCTATAGCATGGATGGAGGCTTTGTGCAGATGGGGTGTCACCCAGTGCAGGATATAAATGCTGCAGCAAGACCAGGAGCACAGAGGCATCATGGTGACCATGCAGCTGCTCCTGCTGACTGTGGCTCTGACCCTGCCCTCTGTGGAGCAATCATCCTACAGGAATTTTCGACATAAGGCCACTATTGATGAGGTGAGAATGCTGGGCAGACAGAATATGTACAGTGGGTTCCGATGGATTGAGTGAGCGTTTCTGGGCTGCTGCTGAGAGCTGAAAATGCACACCACTGAGATGATATATATATAATCTCATGTATTATTTTGTAATTAACTTAATTTCACGTATCAGCCATGGATTCCAGCATCCTTCCTCCTCTCACACCCTCCCCCCAGCCATCCCTCTCAATCTACCCCCATTACCTTGGTAATAGAGGGCAAGGGTTGGGGGGAAAGAGAGCTTAGGAGATGCTATTTTTTTTTTTTTTTGGTTTTTCAAGACAGGGTTTCTCTGTGTAGCTTTGCGCCTTATCCTGGAACTCACTTGGTAGCCCAGGCTGGCCTCGAACTCACAGAGATCGCCTGCCTCTGCCTCCTGAGTGCTGGAATTAAAGGCGTGCACCACCACCGCCCGGCAGGAGATGCTATTTTTAATGCAGTATCTATTCTCCAGCATGGATTTTTTTTCATATCTGACATCAGGGATACCCAGAGGCCAAATAATGGTTTGAGGATGCCTCTGTCTCATCTCATGCCACAGAAACCCACTGCTTCCTGTGTCAGCCTGCAGTTTTCTAAAGCCTTCTAGAAATTCCACAGAAATGACTCTTTCCAGAATTTCTATTTCTCAATGAAAGCCTCATGCAGCATGATGTGCACAATACACGGCTGCTGTCTGCAGAGGGCTGAGCGCTGCTGGGTATGGGGAGGTGTTGATGGAGCGACATCCTAAGAAGTTTAGATGTTTAAATTGATGACAGGTTTTGAGAAGATAAAAGACTCTGGAAATGATCAGGCTTCCTCCCGTGTCCTGGCACTGATGGATAAGGATGCCATTGTGGCTTCCCTGATCTCCCGGGGCCTCCTCCTAGAAACTCAGTTGACATGGAGGCAAGCACTCCCCATGGATGAAGCTGGCATCCGGTTACTCTGCCTCCCTCTGAAAACTACAACTGAATCTGGATCAACAATCCCTCTCAGTCTTAGAATGAAGGAATTGGACAAGTTTAGATCATGTTCTTAGCCTGGTGCTGTTTGTGATTTTCTCTTCTTATGCGAGACATGTGCAGGTACCCTATAATCATCTGTCCCAGGAATGATATCTTCCACTCAAGGTCCTAGTACTATCCTGCCTGGGTATCCCCACTTATGACAGAGAGGGGTAAACCCAAACCAGGACTATTTTTGATGCTTCAGTGTATCATGTCCCTTCAAATGGTACAGAGCCCTTACCCCAGGCCCTTCCTTCATCTCCTCCCATCTCAATTACTTCCTAGAACCCCTTTGCTTAGCTTCCCCTTTCTATGCTTCCACCTAATGGGTGGCTTTGCTCTCTAGCTTCTAGGAAAGTGGTACATAGTTGCCTGGGCAGGGAACATGCCTATTCCTGAAAAGAGGAAGTTGAGCCCACTGCCACCCTTCACATTCGTCAGGAACATTATTGACAAGTTGGAGTTCAGGATGAACATCTCGTAAGTACCTGTGCTCAGAGAGCGCTCTCTGCACTTGGCTCCATGGAATCACCACACTAACCATGTGCATGCCCTAGACATCAACTGGACATTCGATGTCAACATAAATCCTCTTGTGTTGTTTGGACAATGGTTCAGGTGACTTTCATAAGCACAGGAGACATGTTCACAGGACACCAGATTCAAACAGAAGGTCCAGCTCATCACATGCTATCCTCCTATGACATTCCCTGGAGGACTGAAGCTTTCCTTCCTAGTGGTGCTGTGCTCCCTGGAGCCAGTGTAGATGCTGTGCTTATTTCTGTGCAGGCACAGAACCTGAGACCCCTCAAGATTTCACTGAGTTCCTTGTGCAGTGAGGACCCAGGGGTAGTGACAGCAGGTGCAGGACTCTGTCTTCGGGGGGATACCTTTGGAGACACAGTAGCAGAATCAGGGCAAGACCTGGCCTCCTGGGGAAAATAGACTGGGCTGGCAATATACTGCTCAGAACTGGGAAGATGGGCTGTCTTCAGATATGGACCATCTTTCTGTTGCTGCCACCTGCTTTGATGTTTAGAACACAAGAAGGTGACTCAGGGGTTGTGGAAAGCCATGTGCTAATGCTTGGCAAGTTACTATATGTATCAGAAGAAGGGTCTGGGTTGTGTTGCTCAAAGATCACAACAGGGAAGGACAGGGCTGATGTCATGGAGAAAGCCATGCTTTTGTCTTGTGTTACAGAAAACCCATCGGGTGTATTGAGTTCAAGATATATATGGATGAAGATAAATCTAATCGTGGTTTTTTCCATATCTGTGAGTGCGTGGGTTTATGTTCTTCATTTTCGGGTTCCATTGCCCTTCAGCTACATGATTAATTTTTCTCCACAGGGCCAGAACACATCATCAGATTTGAATTTATGCATGGGAAGGACTTCGCTGTTGCCGTTTATGTTAACGAACCGAAGTACTACATTATGACAATGCTCATGGGTACGTCTCACCCTGCCTAAGGTTGTGAGAGATGAGCATGTGTGTACAGAGTGGATCACAATCTCAGGCTCTCATGCTCTAGTCCCCAACTTGAGGTCTTTTCTGAGATGATTGGGGCCTTTGAGAGAGGGGATTGTAAGCTCTTGATGTGTCTTCGGCCCTCTCCAGATGGCTACTGAAACACTAGGCTCACAACCACACCCCACACACTGAGCCCTAGCTCCTCCCTTCCTTTCTCTGTTAGCCTCTTTTCTCATCCTGTTCTAAGAAGAGATCTGCTTGGAATCATTTCCCATGGCGACACTGAGAATCATTTGGAGACAATGTGCTATTGTCATGGTAACAGGTCCTGATCTGACAACCAGTCTGTGGAGGACAGAGTTGTACTCAACTCCTGTTGTACATAAATTGCCCCATTTTATTCAGATAGATATGAGGTACTGGAATCCACATTTATCATAATATCAAAGAAGAAGTGAGAGATAAATTTCTGAAGGAAGGTTTCATGTATAGTTTTAGTCAGTGCTAAGTAGAGAAAAATATTTTGTTACTCTCTTCTTCCTTCAGATTGTTTAAAATGTAATGAGAAGCTTGAACAAGGCTCAGTGGTTAAGAGTTCTTGTTCTTAGAGCATGAAGACCTGAATCTATGTCACAAGAGTTCACATAAATAGCTAGACATGGCTGAGCATGTCTGCAACCGTTATTGTGGAAGAGACAGTGGGTCCTCAGAGCTGGATAGTCAGACAATCAAGCCACATTGATGAAGGTCCAGATCAGTGAGTGACTGTGTCTCAAGGAAACAATGTTGAGAGCTGTGGAGGAAGATGATTGACATCCTACTCTGGTAACCATGGTTGCAAACAGACACACCAAAACCATCCACCATATATAAACACACACACACACACACACACACACACACACACACACACACACACACACATACACACTTGCCAGTTGGGAGCAAAAACAGGACTTAGGCATGTGTTTTTTCCTCAATAGAGATTTTCAGTCACATTCTGGAGAATGGAGGTATCCTGATCAAGCATGCTGTGTCTCTTCTCACAGGAGAGTTCTAGACATTAAAGTGCATATGAAAAGAACTTGGGTGCCAAGTTACCAATGTTGGGTGGAAACCAGACCTCCACCATCCTCCATTATCAAGCACTTAGATCCCAATGCTGCCCGCACATTTCTAGCCTCTGCTTGCATTCTCCAGTAGATCTTCTCTCATGATTTTCTGAATATCAGGTGGCACTGTGCTTCCTCCCTCTCCCTGATAAACCCCACAGTCCTCAACCAGTAGTCTCTGCACACAAGACATTTCGGGCAATGGCCTAGGAGTCCCCCAGATTAGACATGGAGACTCTAGATACACCTACTGCTGTCCTTTGGGACTCCCACCTGGTCCTTCTCCTGCTCATGAATATTCAGCTGGAGGTTCTCTTTCTCTGGCTTGAAATCTCTCAGGTTCAGAAAAATACCTGTGTGGTACATGTGTTAAATGTCTATAGTAAGAGTCTTTCCCACCCCCTTGTCCCATACCCATGTGTCCTGCAGGTCGCAACAGGACTCCAAAGAGAATAATACTATCAGAGTTTGAGGAATTTGTGGTAAATTTAGGGCTGAAACGAACAGACATCATCCGCCCTAAATATGATGGTAATGAGATTAGTATTTTGCTTATTTCTATTTCCCTCTCAATCATGATTTTCCTGTAAGACAATGACCATACCAACACCACTCTCAGACAACTATCTCTGTTTATAATAGATTCATGTGAGCTGCACACTGAAACTTAGTGCATGGAGAAGCACCACCGAGTCTGCACAGAACCTTGAATCTGGGACCACTGCACTTACCCTGTCATCCTGTAGTTACAATTCTAGGTGCCAAGAGAATACAGACCATACATGCACACCCCATCAAGTCTAAGCTTTCAGTAAAAGTGGTAAATATTCTCTTCTGTATGTGTCACGTGTAATCAAATGGTGCCTGGATTTGTTTTACTCTGGTGTGAGAAGCCACACATTCCTGAACTTGATTACCAGGACTCATGGGTCCCTATAGAAGTGACATGTGATGGCTCATGAGGTCATGGTGCTCAGGTTTGGCAGGCAGAACATCTAGAGCGAGAGAGAGTGAGGATAGGAATATGCATTATGTCTAGTTAGAGAAAGAGAGGATCATCAGAGTCACCACCAAGCTGGTGTAGGTCAGCTAGTGTGGGTCAGTTTAAAAACCTGGGGTCTCAGTACTTACCTTGTGTTCTGGGGCCTAGTGTTGGATTGTTGTCCTGTTGTGAGGCCCATGGAGGAGGTAGCATAGGCTCTGTAAATTTGGAATACAGGGTTGCAGCCAAGGCCTTTACTGTCTCTACCATTTAGGTAATGTGGGACTGCGGTTACCAGAAGCAGAGAGGTCCAGACACAGAACTCCAGATACCGAGGAAGTCAAACACAAGCATACTCCTCCTCAAGCCCAGATAAAAAGAAATGGAAAGTTTACCCCAAATCTCCACTTCAGTTCCAAAAAACAATCTTCTTTTGCATACCACATATCTTTTCTTGTGGAAAGATATTTTTTATATAAAATGCAGAAACCCTCTTTCTGCTGTTTTCCCAAATTCAGGAAAGCAGGTGGGTTTACTGTAATGAGTCAGATCCACATGGGGTCACCCTCTGCATGAGGTTCCTGAAGGTCAGGCTACTATGGCCATGAAACATGTGCAGTGAAAAGTCAGCCCATCTGGCCCTGTTCCTTGGGTATGCCAGCCATAGTTTTTCAGCCAGATTGCATTTGTGTCCTGAGGAAGGATTAGAAAAGAGGACCTCAGAAGACACAGCAAAAGCTCAGGATAATCATGTTCATTGATCAGGATGAAGGATGAATCCTCTTCATGGAAGTCACAGAAAGGGTATCTGTTGTGCCTTTCAACTGTCTCACACTGAGCTTTTGGGACAGGAAAATGGCAGCATTCTCCTAGGACCTGATAAGTCTTGTGTTAATCAACAAACATCTTCTCATATCTGAGTATCACATACAAAAGATTGAAGTACGGTTCCACTGAAAAGTAACTAGATGAACCAAAGAGTAATTTGATTATATAATGATCAAGGGTGAAGGGGTGTTTACAGGGGCATGACTGACCTATAAGAAGCCACATCACTGAAACAACTCACCAGGACATGGATAACAAATTACCAACAGCAGTATAGATGGAGTTTTCTCCAGTTAACTCTTTTGTGTATTCCAAGATACTCTTTGTAAAGAGTTACAGGCATCTTGAAGGGAGTTCCAGTAGGGAGTGAATGGAATCTCAGTTGAAGATGTAAGGACCCACCACAAGCTTATTGGAGGGAACTTCTATAGACCTGCTCTCAATGGTGTTTTGATTATCACAGCTGCTGATAGAAGATGGTTGTGGATGTTATGCTTGGAGCACAGAATTCTGCAACAGGCCAGGTCAGGAGTATTCATAGTCCTCTACCGTGTACAAATGTGTTGGGAGTCATCATTGCTGTAGATCCCTGTAGTGAGGGAACCACCCAAAATGTAATTCTCATAGGAGGCTCATTCACCCTGGTGACTCCATTCCCAAGGAAATTCAAATCCCATTTGTACAATCCCTTTGGGGTGAGACAAGTGATGCTAGACTTTCTTTAGTCATTTGGATCATAAATGGGAAGAATTACTGGTGCCTGTGATATCTGTGCATACACTTGACCCACTGTGGAGCCTGGCTGGCATTGCTTGATCTACAGAGTAGAGGCCATGGGATTTAGACAATTGGCAGGATGGACTTCATTCAGAGTAAACCCTGACAGAGGAGATAACTGTTCCCTTGATGGTGTGTATTCTAGCCTAGAAGCAGAAACTGGTTCAAATAAATGGAAGAGATTATCAGGGAAACAGGGTTATGGGTTCAGAAACTGTGACACCTGTCAGGAGAACTTTTCTGGATCAGGGTGTATTGAAAGGTGGATACTATTTTGTGGTCATGCCCACAATGACCTCAGGAAATGTAAGGCAGAGTTCTTCTTGACTAGAGACTCAAATGTAGAAAGCAGATCAGAAACTTATCCACAGGGAGCCTTGCTTCTGGGATATGGTAGATGTGAGCTAGGTCTTCTTGACATCAGATATGTATTTCATTTCTTTGATTTCATGAAAGTTAACCAATTATGGATCCTCCAGGTTACAGTGGATCTTGTTTTAGGTTATTATAGTTGTGTGTGGACCCAGAGTGTGATAGTAGTGTTGGGACTGTGTAGATTTTTGCCTAAATTGTTCTAGTATTAATGAAAACTCAGTAGTCAGAATTTGAGATAAAAACCTGGTAAATGTAAGGAACAGCAGGGAGCAATCAGTTGACCCTACTTTCCATGTTTTAACCATCCAAATAACCCGGAAATCTCCCCAACCCTTCATTTTCTCTTTCTGTTGTTTCTCCAACTTCCTCACTTTTTCAAAAAAATCTATGGCAATTTTGGTCAGCCAGTCACTGACTCTATCCTTGATTTAAGGTGGATTTATTGGCATAACAGCATCAAAAATTATACAACAATTCCACAATTCCCTATGGATGAAAGGAAAAAAGCGAAACGCCTAAACACTAAAACAGTAAAAAAGAAGAACAAAAGAAAAACAAAAAAACAAGAAGTACCTTCCTTTGTCCCCCCCCCCCTCCCTTCCCGTTCTTTCTTGAAACAGGTCTCTCTGTATAGCTTTCGTGCCTGCCTTCGATCTCACTCTCTAGACCACGTCCGCCCCAAACTCACACAGATCTGCCTGCCTTTGCCTCCTGAGTGCTGGGTTTAAAGGCATGCACCACCACTGCCTGGCCAAAAAGTACATTCTTAATGTCCAATCTATTAGTATGTTGAAAATATGAAGAAAATACTCCTATCTTGGTGAGCCCAAAATTTTGTATCTGATTTACTTCCTATAAACTACAGAAAACTCTAATTATAACTATCTAATTTTCAACCCTGTCAGACACCTGAAAGGGTTATACTATTACTCATTTAAACAGATTGTGCAGAGCTATCAATTTCCAAAACTAAAAACAAAAACAAAAACAAAAAACAAAAAACAAAAAACAAAAAACAACAGAGACTTCTGACTGGCTAGACAAGCACACCAAGGTTCCTCTGGAACACTGTGGCATGCCTATTGGGCCTCCAGGCCTAAATATCTGACAGACATTTCTGCGAAGCAAGAATTTTGAAGGACTGCCCTACCTTGTCTTGGCAATTTTGACAGTTGCCTTCCTTTGTGTTCTGCTTGTCCAATTTGGACAGCATATACCAGCAGTCGAGGCAAGGACAGCTTCTTTGCTCAGTGACTAACTTTGACACAAATGAAAGCAAAGTCTACATGGAGATTCTTTAGAGCCTGTCATCCTCTTGTGAAGTAAATTGGTGTTGCCAGGAGCAAATATGTGTTCCTGTCATAAAAAGCCTTGCATGATTGCCATTTAAAATGACATATTCTGTAGGTTTCTGAAGTGTTTGAAGGCCATCTATTCATTTAAAATATGTCTGTGTTTGACCTTGAAAACATACTTAACATGACTAGAAGTTTGATTCTTATAGATGATTAACTACTAACCTCTAGTTCTTTGTTGTCCTAAATAGCTTTCAAGGACTAGAATTTAATATTGCATTTTTTAAATGAGCTGCACAAGTACAATACCTTAAACGAGAAATAGAAACATATAATGTAGTATAACAAAAATAACCATAAATTTATATCAATATACACAAATATCTTAAGCAAGAGTAAAAAGATAGATACAATATAATATAAATAACCTTAAATTTGTATTAACAGAAAAAAATCAGTATCAATGTAAAATATTTGAGATTGGTAGTTTCTTTTTTAGTTTTAAAGTAGATTCAATAATCTACCCTTTTATCCCATCTTCTCTATAGTCTCCCTTTTTGTTTTCAGAAGAAGATCCATTTATCTAATTTCCTTTACTTAGTTTTCTCCCTGACCATGACCAATAACAAATTGTAATCAACCCCCCTAAACAATGACAAAAATCCATTGAACAACCAAAAAACTTCCAGCACACCTCTTGAGTTATGGGCAACATGTTCCTGATGTCTGGGAGGTGAGAGCATTCTAATGGGACCTTGAAATAATTGAGATAAAGATCAAGACTTGGGAGAGCTACCAGTTGTCCAGTCTGTGTATAATGGAAAAGTGAAAGGCTTATCTCAATTTCTGGCTGTAGTAGTCCATGATGCTTTACCAACTTAGCTACCTACCTTGAAATTGTCATGAGCAAATTGTAGACCAAAGCTGATCTTTGTATCATGTTTGTGAGCTTAGCGGCATTATCACAATCAAGGTGTAATTATCCTTGTGGGGATCTATCATCATTTTAGAGACATCACAAAGTTCATTGTTAGGAATGGTCACAGATCACTGTAGAAATCTTACCCATTTTCAATGTCACATACAGCAGATCTTAAACTGTTTAAAGGACTACTATCTACAAAATTCATGTGGAGTACACAAGCTTAGTTCCTAGTGACCTGCTTTAGACTCAGAACTGAAATCCTGTACAGAAAGGCAGATAGATAAAGCCTATTTCTAGGATTAGTTAGTACTCTGTATGACCAATAGTATCAAACATCCTGACAGAAGTTTAAATAAGTAAATAAATATCTTATAAATTGTAAGGTAATATTTACACCTTAAGAGAAGTTTTAAAGCATCTTTAAAAAAGAGGATTATGAGATTAGTGACATGGAACAGTCCCTTACTTTTGGATTTCTTCAGTCTCATATCAGGTGGCATTCTGACATGAGACAGAAACCTTGGATTTTCCTCTAACAAGTATGCTTGGGTTTAGAGAAGGAGAGAGCCACATTCCAACCCCAAAGCCAGCTTTAAAATTTAGTTGTGTTGGAAATAATAAAAAGATCATTTGTCTTATTTGTCTGTAGAGAACAGTAGAAACAAACATCTGAGAAGACATGAAAATTCTACTGATGGAACTGTGCTATACCATTAAGCTAATTTATTTTTTCTTGGGACATTTTCTCTGTATGACTTATGCTTCTTTAGATGTCTTATTTGTCCAGTGGTGTTCATATTCTGTAGCTGGATGCTTTTATTCTCATGGAAAGAAAAAAAATACTGTCCCAACTCTACCTTTGGGGAGTTTCCTTTTTTTGGCAGCTTATGTCTGATCAAATCAAAGACATATGTCAGTCCTATAACTTAATTTAGATGAAATGGCTATGCAGTTGAGGGACTACCATCTCTCTTAATCAAGAGGTCTCTCCTAATTGAATCAAATCTTTATCAATCTTGATAGTATCCATAACTTTCCTTCTCTTCTAGGAACAAAAGCAAAACTTCTTCCCCAATGTAACTCATATCTTGGTTTCCATTCTGAGGTCAACACATCTTTTACATATACAGGCTGATTTAATTCAGTAGTTTTTTTCCATTATCAAATGTCTCTCCATAGCTTTTGTTCCTTTCTCAGTCACATTGAAAATATTTAAATTTAATAAAATATTGTGCAATCTAACTCTGGAAGCCTTTAGTGTCCCTTTCTGTTAAGTGTATCTCTTAAAGTGAGATTAGAAAATGTAAATCAAATCAAAACAACTCTGAGATACCACCTTAAGCCTGTCAGAATGACTAAGATCAAAAACACGGAAGACATCTTATGCTGGAGAGGATGTGGAGCTAGGGAACTCTCCTCCACTGCTGGTGGGAATGCAAGCTTGTACAGCCACTTTGGAAATCAATATGGTGCTTTCTTAGAAAATTGGGAATCAATCTCACCCAAGATCCAGCTATACCATTCTTGGGCATATACCCAAGGAACGCTCAATCATACTACAAGGGAACTTGCTTAGCTATATTCATATCAGCATTGTTTGTAATAACCAGGACCTGGAAACAACCTAGATGCCCTTCAACTGAAGAATGGATAAACAAAATGTGGTACATATACACAACAGAATACTACTCAGCAGAGAAAAACAATGACATCATGAGATTTGCAGGCAAATGGATGGGTCTAGAAAAAATCATCCTGAGTGAGGTAACCCAGACTCAGAAAGACAAACATGGTATGTACTCACTCATAGGATGATACTAGATGTGGAACAAGGATGATTGGACTGCTACTCAAAACAACAGGGAGGCTACTGGAAAACAGGACCCCAAGAAAAACACGGGAATCACCCAATGACGAGAAATGGATGAGATCTACATGAATAGCCTGGACATGAGTGGGGGTAATGAAAGGCAAGGGTCGAGGGAAAGAGAGCTTGGGGAAGCAGGAGATCCCAGCTGGATCAAGAACAGAGAGGGAGAACAAGAAATAAAAGACCATGGTAAATGAAGACCACATGAGAATAGGAAGAAGCAAAGTGCTAGAGAGGCCCACAGAAATCCACAAAGAT